GCTCTGCTCCTTCCCCCGCGTGGTCTCACCCAAGATGGCAGCTCCTGGAGCAGCCAAGCATTCCGGACTAGAAAGCAATAGATTTCTTGCTTCTGCCACAAATTCCCCCATCTGTGAGCCTTCCAACCTTCTAAATATTCCTTTATATGTGGTTCGCAGTTCTGGAACCAGCCCCTGAGCCTGCTTGGTTGGGTAGTCTGTGTTGTTGTTGGCAGAGCTCCTTTACTGCACTTCCACCCGATCCACCATCTTGTTTGTTCTCTTTTAAGGAAGGCTCATTGACTTTTTATATTAAAAAATAGTAATAAAGGCATAGGTAAGCAGTCTGGGGTTGATATTGGTAGTGTCGTCATATTGTTAGAACCAGACTCTTATCTAGACCCAGACTCTTATCTTTTTCTTTTCCCCTCAAAGTTACTTCATGATATGAGATAAATGCTAAAGTTCTATTACTGTGTTTAAATTGCAGTCTGAAAGAAACTGGGTCAAGTTAAGTTTTTGATGAGAAAATATTTATCCTCCCCAAAGCTGAGAAAGTTCAGAAAACTAAGACATCGGCTGCCACTATACATACTTGTCAAAACTGCTCCTGACTGAGGACTTTGAGCATATAAATTGATTGCAATAACTGCTCAGAAACAAAGAATAGAGCTGTTGTCTGTAATTGCATTAACATGTGATTGGTTAGGTTCTGCTAAACATTGACACTAAGTAATTACTTCAGTGACAGTCCCCTGAATATACTGTTCAGGATTGTCTGTGATATTTTATGTTTTGTTAACAAGAGATGGTAATAGATCTTTCTGCAGTTAGTCACTTTTCAGACTATAACAAAAGTACAAGAAGGAACCAGAACAGGGGTACATTCTGTACTGCCTTAGTGAGCATGGAACTCTCTTCTGCCACAGTTCTTGGCTGTGGTATATCGGCACTACTGTGAGAAGCTAAGAGCTTGACTTTGGGCAGCACCAAATATGGCAGCAGATTGTGTACATTCTAAAATCCTCTTAAACGTTTTCTCAGACTTAGAAACTAGCTCCACAAGATCTGGAATGGCAGAGTAAAGGGCTTACTCTCTAGATAAGAAAATATCTACTTAAATAGTAATAATTCCTCACTTCCTCTAGGATTGCAAGAGAGAAATACGTTTTGGTCCACTGTTTTGACCTTTAAGCTTAAGCCCCATATTAATTAAAGAATTTATTCTTCAAGCAGAAAAATGTGAAATGTTTAGTTAGAGTCCCAGATACCTGTTTCCTATCTAAAACAGAAAATTGGCTCAAGGATAGGTATGATTTTCCCCTATTCATGGCTTTCTCTGAGTATATGCTTTGTGTGTCCTTCAGTTCCTCAGTGCCATACTCAACAGCCAAAGCACCTCACCCAGTGTTGACTACAGTGTCTTCTAACCAAGCCAAGCAGGTAACTTATTGATTTTTTTTTTTTTTTAACTTTGTTAACTGTCATTCTGTAAGCTCCAAGAAGGCAGAGTAACGTCTGTGTAATTCATGGCTATTTTCCCTGTGCTTTGCATAGTACTTGGCTATTTGATAGACAGAAGAATGGATGAATAAGTAAGTGAATGAAATGGGCTGGATCTCAATGAATTTATAATAAGGCTTAAAAAAAAAACACAAAAAAACACTGTTTACTTATGAATGTCCATTCAGTGTCCCCTCATTCTTGTTTGTTATGATTTATGCCTTACCAGCTGTCCTTTGTAGGAGCTCTGGTAGCGTAGTGGTTACGAGTTGGGCTGCTAACCTCATGGTCAGCAGTTCGACACTACCAGCAGATAAAGATGAGGCTTTCTGCTTCCATAAAGATTTACACTACCACCACCACCATGACTTTCTTAGTTTGCTATAATTCAAAATAACGTTTGGCATTTGGTCATTCTGTAGGAGATTTCATGTTCACCACAAAGGACTCCTTCTGGTGGTGGTGGTGGTGGTGATGAGCTTACAGAATATTATATTTTCACCCTCTGATACAATCCCTAAGGAGCTCTGGTAGCGTAGTGGTTACGAATTGGGCTGCGAACCGCAAGGTCAGCAGTTCAAAACTACCAGCTGTTCCGCGGGAGAAAGATGAGGCTTTCTGCTCCCGTAAAGACTTACAGCCTCGGAAACCCCGTATAGGGTCGCTATGAGTCGGAACCGACTCCACAGCACATCACAACAACAGTACAATCCGTGGGAGAAAGATGAGGCTTTCTGCTCCCGTAAAGATTCACAGCAGCCTCGGAAATCATATAGAATGTCACTATGAGTCAGAACTGACTTGACAGCACATAACAAGCAACACCAGCACAATGCATTTTACATTTGGTAAGCATTTTTAAGTGTTGAAAACTTGAATTTGTCTCTCTTCTTTTTGTGTTTTTTTTTTTCCCTTCCTCTTTGTTTTTGGTAATTAAGCTAAAGTGTTTGTGCTGTCAGATTTCATTAAAATGTGTTATCATTTCAAATGTTCCTCTATTCCAAAAGATGATTAGTGGTTTAATATAAATATTTTCTTATGTTTTATTATAGGGGACTCTAATAAATTCCCTAAAGTCATCTGCACCCATACCAGCATCTAGTCCGCTGTCATCTGGTGACAAAGCTTCAGGTCAGTTTACATTTTTCTTTCAATGAAAATAAAGGTGAAGGGAGAGCTCTTCAGTATAGTTTATTGTTCTAGATCAAAGAAGCAGTTCACATAAGCAGTCAAGCAAAGAGATCATATTTGAAGGACCTCAGCTGATGAAGAATCGCTAGGAAATTAGTGAGCCCTTCAATAACTATGTAGAAGTCTAGTTTGAAAAACTTTAGGGTAATAGAAGAAAACTTTCCTTTAAGTGTTTCTTCTAAAAGGAAACAGTAATATTGTTTTCTCGTGGCTTGCTAGATAATCAAGGTCTAAAGAGGAATATTTCAGAGTGTTGAAATCTTTTGTCTTTTAAAGGGGAAAAAAATCCACTTGGTTCATAATGAGAATTTGAAACACAGTAAGAGATGCAGAAATTGAAGTGAGCTCTTGCAATGTAAGATATCAGTAGATACAATGAAGTCCTATTGTTAGATTTATAACTTCACATACTCTCCCAACACTCACGCAAGCATAATTATTCTTAAGTAACAATTTTTTAATAGTCACCATAGTTATTTTAAGGAGCTCTGGTAGTGGTTACAAATCGGGCTGCGAACTGCAAGGTCAGCAGTTTGAAACTACCAGCTGCTCCATGGGAGAAAGATGAGGCTTTCTGCTCTCTTAAAGATTTATAGCCTCGGAAACCCTGTTGAGGGTCGCTATGGATCGGAACCGACTGGACGGCACTTAACAACAACAACATAGTTATTTTGATCAGTTTACGTTGTCCAAAGTCAACTTGAATCAATAGAATGCTTTTACATATAGCTTAATTTTGAGGTGAAATCTTCATCAGTATCTCCTTTTGTAGCCTCTTTTTGATACCCCACCTTATTTGCCATATAAAAGGGGCTTCGAAAAGTTTGTGGAAAAATAGGATTAAAAGGTAGTGTAATTTTTCCACAAACTTTTTTAAGCACCCTCATATTATCGTCAAAGATCTGTGTCACCCGCAATACTGCATTTTGGCTTTTATTTTGATTTATGCTCTCAAGGGATGGCTAAGCAAATTCTGTTAGAGACCTTTAACTTCACACCTTAACAGCTGTTTTGCATGATTTCTACTTATTAATACAGTCATCTGTACTTTCTCTATCACTAAAAGCTTCTGATTGGATATTGGTCTTCAGTAAGTAGTCCTTGCACTCAGAGTAGCATGTTATTGTGTAAGCCAAAGTAGTTGTACTTGTGTAGTTGCCAAAGACCTTTGAGTCCTTTAGGATTCATACTAAGAAATTTGCTTCCATTTCTGACTAATATTATAGAAAAAGTTTATAAATGCTATTTCCTTTTAAGGACTTTACTGGAGGTCCTTTTGTCACTCTTTAATTAAGAGAAGGAGTTCTAGTGTAGCGTTGTAGGATCAGCACTGGACTGCTTACTACAAGGTCAGCTGGTCACATCCACCAGTCACTCCTCAGAAACCCTATACAGGCTCACTGTGAGTCAGAAGTGACTTTGTTTTATGCATGTTTTAAGCAGTTGGTGTGAGATTTATTAATTAGTGATGATCATGAAATATTCTGTTTATTTTCATTTTCTGTAGATGAATAATCAAAGTTTAGGAAAGGACATATATTTGCTAGAAAAATTTCCCTGAAAAATAGCTCCTTGAAATATGTAACTTGACACTTTGAAAAAGTTTATTTAAAAAAAATTTATAAAACCCCTGTAGAATAATTAACTAATTTCTTCATAATGGAAATACCATTTTTAAATAAAACTTTTCTTGTAAATTGAATGATGGTTTGCAGAGCAGATCATCAGTTTTACAATTCAACAAATCATTTAATTTGCTTCATTACAATGATTGCATTCACCTCCCTGTACATCAGTTAACAGTATTTACCTCTGTTCCGTTTAATTCTTGAGTTCCTCCCTGTGTCTACCACTGTTTTCATCTTTCCCTTTCTAACCTCCCTCTTGGATAGTGCCTGCCCCATCACCCAACAGGATTGTTAAACAAACTCATTCACAGAAGGTCAATATCATAGAATGTTCCTTGTATCAAGAAAACTGTTTTTGAACTCTATGCAACAGTGGTCTCATTCAATAGTTGTCCTTTTGTGAATGAGTAATTTCACTCATCATAATGTCCTCTAGGTTCATCCATGTTGTCAGGTGTTTTGCAGATTCGTTGTTTTTCAGCATTGCATAGTATTCCTTTGTGTTTGTTTAACAATCCTTAACAAAGTTTGTTTAACAATCCTTCTGTTGTTGGCATTATGGCTGTCTCCATCTTTTGATATGTCTCTTTTAGACTGCATAGTAAAGTGTCCTGTTTTCATATCCATTCTGCTACTCACTATTTTGATGGGTACATTTGATTCATTTAATAGCATTGCCTTTATTTACTTTATTGCATTTCTCCTTGTATCTCCTGCTACCTTCATCTTTCCTTTGCTAACCTCCTCCTTTTGTATATTGTCTGCCCTGTCACTCATGTTACTTTTGCTGTTGTTAAGTGCCATCGAGTCAGGTCCAACCCATTGTTGTTGTTGTTGTTGTTAGGTGCCAGCGAGTCAGTACCGACCCATAG